AACTTCAACTTGGGCGAATGCCACAGGGGCCTAGTGGACAAGACGTGACTTTGGGTCGTTCATAAGAAGGGTCTTGGGTTACCACAAGCGCCTGCACCCTGATCTATAAATCGCTGAGACCAAAAGACTCTGGGTCGCCAGGCCTAGCCGTGCATGTGCCTTTCCGAGGTCCCAGATGTCAAACCATGTAGCCGGGACGCCGTTGGTTTTCTTGACCTCGCATTTGACGACCGCAGACTACTTCAGACGGCTCCTTAATTGCGGTTGATGCTGCTGTAATTCGCCTTATTCCGGTAAGTTGTTCTTTTGTACTTCCTGGTCTCAGCGCCAGCCCTAGTAAGCAACACCGCACTCTTCCGTTGCATGCCCTCGTCATGCAGGGAGGGTGTCGCACAAAGAAACAAAGAAACAAACAGATTGTGCGTTCTCTTATTCTGTCTTCCTCTTGGTAGGCAGATGACGACGACGAGGACAAGGACGACAACGACCACTGCTGCCACCATTGAACCGAGTACCAGCACGTGGCGCTTGCTAGCGCAAGCCAGGCTACTACTGCAGTCAACTATGAATCGAGTACTGCTACACGACTACCACGACTGCGTTCTGCTCCCAGCACTGCTGTAATTCTTGCTGTTGTCATCACTGTTCTGCTTCTAATCGTCGCTCTTCTGCGCGCGTGTTCTTGTGCTAGTCTGAGGGAATGCGGGGCGGGGTTTGTCTGCACCATTTCAGCTCGAGGGATCCTGCCTACAGTCTGAAGCCTTTCGACGTGAGAAGCTGTCGAGGGCCTGTCGCCAGATGTAGCCAAAGATTCATGAAGCAAGGTGCAAGGGATTGCAGAATGGCCACGGATACCGATGCTGACTAGATGTACGTTGCTTGAGGAGGTATGCTGGCTCGACGTTCCGGACCTAGTAATGCATGAGACTTCTCGACCCCAAGGACCCCTACACTGTGATTAAAGTTCTCTATAGATTCTAGCTACAAGCAAAACACCAATTCCACGCACGCACATGTCTTCCAAGTGGGCCGTCAGAGCTTTGGTGTTTCTCGCCGGGATATCTTACTCGCCATATTGGGTAGAAACCTTCAAGCCTCGACCGACGTTAAGTTCACGCACTCAGCCCGCTGCCTCTACACTTTTCCGCGTGTACTCGAGGCACTTCTCGGCCTCGTCCAGGGAAGAGTAGCACCTCAGAACCGAGAGCTAAGGCTGACGTTGATGAATCTGCTCCGATGGCAGAGCCTGGTGAAAAACCAGTAAACCTGGATCTGTCTGACATTGGTTGGAACTCTCAAGTGGCGATACCAATCAAAGCGGTCAAGCATACCAAGAAATGCACCACGAAGATCCCAGCTTTTGCAGCAGGGCATCAGAGTGACACAGCTGAACAAACGGTGTCCTTACTTCCAGTGGATGCAGCCGGACAGTCTGAGCTTCCGGCCACGCGAAGTTTCTGTACATGATGTCATGGAACTGGCGAATGACGTTCGGGCTTAGCTAGTGCGGTTCAGCGGTTGGGGCTTCAACTCTTGGATAGCATAAGATGCACAGTTCGCACTCTAATGAAGGAAGCGCACCTCCCAGCCCTCCTCCGGCCGGAAAGGCACCAGCTGCTCGATCTCTTTCAAGGCCATGAGGGCATCATAGGCCCGGAACCTCTAAAGCCGGGCTTGCAGCATGTCCAGGCTTGAGCTTTTGCGGCTGTGCATGTTGCGCATGCATGTTGGTTTGCTTGTATGCATGCGTGCCCGTGTCAATGTGTGTGCCTCTGTGTGTCTGTTGCTTTTGGATCTCCTGGTTGTTGTGCGTTGTGTTGGGCATTTCGGCTTTGCAGGAACCAGCATCCCTGCAGCTCAAGAAGCAGCTTTGAAGATGATTCGGGGTTGGACAGTTCATGTCATAATATAGCATTACTTCCGAGCACATCCCATCTTAACCTGTAAACCCTAAAACCAAAACCCATGGCTGCGGACTGCGGGCTTTGGGGGCTGCGGGCTGTGGCTATTGACCAAGGACAATGCTGCTTCATCCGAACCGCGCAGAGCTTGTCCAATGCCTGCGAAAGGCAAGAATAATTTTGTGTCAGCTCAGGTAGTGTCAGGAAGTTGAAGCATCATAGTTTGGGGTTTCTCTCCAACGGTTAATGTACATAACCTCTACATTCATGAGAGGCCTCGTAACAAAACGACCCATCTTTCTGAGGTCATGTCATGTGAGATCATGCACACAGATGTTCAGGGCAATCGCATCCAAAAATGGGACGCACCAGATGCAGCACCACGCTGTCACATGGTTGCTTGTTCAGCTGAGCTCTACGTCGTGCAATCTGGGCTTCGAGAAGGCCCCAGTACGAGACGCCGAGGACACAGTTCAACGGGAACTCTTCTCCTTCGAACTTTTTGCTGATATAGGTACAGCCAATCGACGAATGTATCTGGTCATCACGAGACGACTCCTGCAGCTCCGACGAACATCTAGCAACGAAGACAAGAGCCAGGACAACAACAACAACAACGAACCAGAGCGGCAATGTAAAACACAAACAAAATCACTACAACTGATGTATTTGCCCAGAATAACATCCACCCACCCACCCACACAGACACACATACACACCGACTCGCGCATGTATGTACGTACGTAGTCAGTTAAAGGTACGTATGTATGTGCGTATGTATGCATGGCTGTATGCGCGCATGTGCCTACCTTTGAAGGTACGGACGTTGTCATGTATGTAACTGTGTATGTATGTGAATACATACGTACATACATACATACATACATGCATACATACATGTATTTGTATATGTACGGATATGGACACACATACGTATGTATATCTATATAAATATAAGTGTATATATATATATATATATATATATGTGTGTGTGTATCTGTGTATGCACTGCAACTTGCTGAAACAACAAAGAGGCTAGATAATAATTGTCTCTGTGTGTGCATGTGCATATGTATATGTATATGTATATGTATATGCGTATATATGTATATACACACGCACACATCGCAGTCCTATCGCCAGCCTTGATGAGCCATGTTCCGCCCTTCTTCCGTGCCCTCGGCAACGGGATTGCTGGTAATTGGCACAAGGTCTCGGCAGCTGGAAGTAGCAGGGACAAACCGTATAACTACATTCTGACTTATTGAAGATTTGAAATGCTCAGACGCCGAAGCATGTTGTCTGGGCACGCAGAAAACAATCAGTATCTAAGGAGTTTAAGGCTTCTCACCAAAGTGACACCCGCGTCTGAGTTCGCCGCACTAGCTGCAGTGGTGTGGTTCGGTATATCGTTTCAAGTCGTTGTGGGGTCCCATGCACTTATAACTTTATGACACCACATACTTGGTATGATGTGCCCACGATCGCCAATCCCAAGCTGAAGCCTAACCAAAACAAATCCCCAGACGCAAACTCGAAGGTGCATCTGCCTAGGCCTATAGCTGGTGCCATCAAGTCTGCCAAGGGTTTTCTATACTTTTGCAGAGATATGGGGTTCTGCTGAGATTAGAGTTCGTTTCAGGCATGGATTATCTAAGGAAGCATTTCAACATCTACACTGTGCGGAGCCTGAAGTTTTAGCCCTCAGCCAGCACCCTGTTGAAACATCAGTTGCAGCAGTGGTCGCGGCCTGTGTTTCCTTAGAACCACGGCTCCCTGCTCTCGACAACTATCGTGGCATCGTTACGTTTATGCATCATGAGTCATGGGCGTCTATGACGGATTTACAAAGATAAGGATCATCACGATCTTTACCATCATGAGCGACGTGATTCTGAACATGGTCACAAAGCATCAACATCCAAATAATGTTCTCATCATCATCCTCATCATCATCAACATCACCATCGTCATCTGCCTCTTGGCAATCATCGATAAATCAGCACCGTCGCCTCTGTCGTCGTCATCGTCATCATTAGCCGCAGCATCACCGATTGCAACATCATCATCATCATCATCACGAATCACCACCATCATCGCCATCAGCATCAACATCATCATCATTATCATCATCATCGTCATCATTAACACATGCACAGCGATGTTAGGTTAGTCACTCTGCTTCTTAGAGCGGTGCAAGGGCACCACACGATCCAAAACGTAGTCGCACCTGGCAGTCCGCGAGCAATTAAAGGCATAGTACTTCCCTAGCCGTACCTTTATATCGACAGGGTAAGTAAAACGAAGGGCTATGGTTGCTACCGTTCCTCCAAACTTTCTACTCGTCTGCATCTTGTGAACTGCACAGGATCTTTTCTGGCAGTTTTGCGTCAAGCGAAAAAGGTACTGCTGTATCTTAGCATAATAAAAATGACCTACTATATTGTGGATGCCGCGCAGATGGATGCTACAGAGCGGCCGTCTCTATGTCGCTCCCATGTTGGACAAGCCTCCGCGGCTCACCCTGTCAGCTTAAGTATTCGTTCTTGACAGTGCCTTGTCAAGGTTTCAAGTCATAACGTCAGTAGGATGTTACTTCAGGAAACCCTGTGACATGGGTTCTAGTTCTGTGCCTCTGATGTTCGGTACGCATAGGCATAGTCTGGCAACCGTCCGTTTGCATGCCATCAACACTTTTGGGCACCTTTGCTTCCGGCAAGCGAGCATGACAAACTAGCAGCTTGAGGGAACCCCACGGATTCTTAAACATGCTGCGACCAAAGCCTTAACCTGCTCTGAACCAAAGCACCCAAATTTGACGAGCTTGCACTGCACCGAAAGCAAACCGAACTCCTGCTTGGAAAGTCAGGTCTTCGGGTGTCAGTCCAAACATGCTCCAAAAACGTACGGTTCATGGTTGTGGAAGGGATACAGGCGATGCGACTCCTGGGGCATCCTGCAAGTCACGTGAAAAGCATGATTTTGAAAGCATCTTGCAGAGTTATGATGACAGAGTTCGCTCGGTAGAAACTCGGCAGGACAGGATCGGCAGAAACTCAGCAGGACAGGATTTGCAGGAAGGGGTATGCGAGCTCACTGCTATGTCTCTGCTGCCCCACGAAGGAAGTTGACCACAAGCGGATCCTGCAGGGGATACTCTGCGAAGATCTTGGCCATCAATTTCAGGCTGACAGTGTCCAGAATGCCACTGCCGCCGCCCTGCAGCAAGGCAACCATCCGGGGCAAGACTTCATGTTTCCATCTCTGGACCAGGACTTCGCCAAGGGTGCCTTCGCTGTTGTCAAGAGCTTCCAGCCTGGGGTTCACGAAACTCACACCGGGGCACTGGCCCTCGAAGAATTTCCGAAGGTCCTCTGGCTTCAACTGCCATAGGTTATGGATGCCTACACTTGGCATGGTCGGGCCTGAAAGTTCCTGTTCCGAGAGTTGCTCCCTGGCAAAATGTAGTGCCACGTTCTCCGGAGCCAACTTCCCTTTGCCTTCAAATTCTTTTTCCAGCTTATTGCAGAAGTGTGCATCCTCAGGCAGCCCATTGGGGTGGAATGCCTGGGTGATCCGGAGCATCACCTCGCGACCTCGGAGGCTGAATCCACCGTTGCCTTCCTGCGTCTTCGCGCAGAAATGGGTCCTGAACTGAGACCACGGAGCCCCGACGTAATCGTACTGAAGGAAGTCTTTCAGGTGCTCGTGTGCCCCATTGCAGATCCAGGAGTCCGTCTGGGCTATCAGAACTTTCGGAGTGGTTGTCAGCTGCCAAAACTCGGGTGAGAAGACCGTGTCAGAGTAATTATGCACGCACGCGTTTGCTGTCGGGAAGCTGGCTGATATTGTATGCTTCTCCCGGCATTGGTGTGAGGAAGACAGCACCTTTCTGCCGGAGTTCCAGGAGCGTCTTCTGCGTGTGGACATAGTCCTTATTGGCGCTGCCGTACATGATCTGTATCTGCAGCTCGGGGAAGTGCGTGTGTGCTTGCAATGCAACAACAGGCAATCTTACAATAGGCCTCCCCTCTGGGATCAGAATGGAGAGCTGGCTGCTGTTGTAGACGTAGCCACTCCCAGCCCATCTTCTGGCATTCTCGATGCTCTCGTGAGCACGGGGGAGGCTTCGCATCTCGCTCCGGTCGGAACCGCGTAGGGTCACAGCTCCGCAGATGCAGAGCCAAGACCCGAGAAGCAGAAACATGTAACTAATGACTAATAGCGTGTAAGGTCGGATCGCGTTCGAAAGTATGGGACGTCAGTAAAGCTTGAGCCGTGCTCGGCATCGTGTACAGTTTGTAGGGCTGGGGGGGGGGGGGACGGAAACCGCTGTGCCGGTGTGCACCGAGGTCTTGGAATCGAGATGGTTGAAGAGTGTGTCGGGGGCCTGCAGGGCTTCGCAGGGCCTTAGGATTGGGCTTCTGCTCATCCTGAGTCAACGGCGGCCGTGGCCTGTTTTGTGTTCCTGTCTTCAGGATTCTTGCTGGCCGTCAAGCTTAGAATGCAGGTGATAGTAGCCGAAGCCAGGGCGTCTCGGGACAGTATCTTACGGGGTTTCGGGTCAAGGAACCACCAAAAGCTCAGACAAACTTCACCCCAAGCAAGCCAAGTCACTTGTCTATCTCGTAGTTCTTCAGGTAGACACCGATGAGATCCAAGGCAACACCTGAGATGGGACTGAGCTCTTCGACTTATGGCAAATCTGGCATGGACCGGCGCTGTTCTTATGCAGAGCTGCGGTTTCACATCGATTTGATGATGCTGCTGTGTACTGTACATGGCTCCGAACGACTCGACAAGTTCGCAAATTGCACCCAAGGCGTTACAGCCTCTCCGCCCACGCTAGCGCAAGGGGGCCGATTGATGTTGAGCACTGTCAATGGGCCGAGTGGCTTTCTATTTCAATCGTGGCGTCTGACTGGAATCCTAACAAAAAAGACAAAGCCCAACATTGGCATTGCGCCCGAGCAGCCAATGTTGCGAGGCTCGCTGAGTGTGGCGGTGAGCTCCTTCGCAAGTCCATATGCTGCGGGTGCTGCGTGCAGGATTTTGAGAGCCGGCGGCATCTGGACGTGTGAAGAGAGTCTGTTTGCCTCGGGAGCTATGGATGGTTATGGATGCAACAAATGTACTCACCCACGGCGTATCTGGGGCTAACCATGCAAACACGATGTGAAAGTAAGGGCTGGTCGTGATGGCATGCAGTAACTTTCAGAAAGAGTCGTCTGAAGAAGGAAAATACGACATGCCATGCAAACTGCTTGTCATGATAAGCTAGCAGATAGTATCGTTGCTCGCACTGCGCACGACATGATCCACCTGAATCTCAGAATGCACACGTGGCTTCTGGCAAAGTCACAACACACAAGGCCTGATCCACGGGGCAGACAGCAGCGCCACTCAAAGAAGACGTTGTTAGTGGATGCCAACGACATTGACGACAAAGTCAGTACATGACTGTAGTGAGCATGACCGCATCCCGTACTGTGCATTGCGGCCGTGACCAACAACAGCTTGAGTAGTCCAAGCACGGACAGCTGAGGCGGGTCCTCTTTGCTCAGGCGAGTTGTAAGTGCCTCAGGCATAAGCTTCACAGCTTCCGTGTGTGTGTGTGATGTGAACAAAGGTAGGCATGATGACTTTGATGATTATATGACGAAGGAGAAGGTGATGATGCGAGTGATCAAGATGTCTGATCGGCCATGCGTTGCAGAATGTGGTTCACTGGCTGGCATGGCATGTTGTGAAATTTAGGGGGTCACAGCGTCGGGGTCGCGACCTCTCGCAGTCTGATGCGACTGCTTGCTGCCTTTGAGCACCTATGGATCTATGACATTCGAAAATCGTTTGCCGTGCATAGTCGGCACTTGCAGCGTCTTTGTGCGAGTGTTGCGCTGTCTTAAGTGACCGCCTCACAACTTGCCAGGACTAGGCCAGTGACTAGGCGGTGCCAACAAGTGATCAGACAAGAATCAGTCACCCAGCGAGACGGCCCGGAACACAGAACACCCCAGACACAAGAATGAGGTGGGCCAAGCGTTTGGACAAAGCATCGTCAGCTAATGAAGTCTGAAGCATCGGGCAGCACACCGGCGAGTACTGCTCTTCGATGAAGAGCAGTTGCCAACAGTTTTGGACATGCGATGACCATGAACAGACATGCAGCAATATTTCAGGCAGTGCTGATGCCAGAAACAAGAACTGTTCAAGCTTCAAGACATCACCTATCTTATGCTATACAACTCCGAGTATGTCACAACAGTAGAGGCAACCGGCAGATCGATCGCGAGGGATCTCAAGAACCTTGTAGACGAGTGCTCAATTGCGGAAGGCTTGCAAACCGCTAGGCTTGCTCTTCAGAGCTCGCTGGTCAGCTTGAAAAGACACAGTCTGGGGCCATACAGAGTTGGAAGAAGGTTTGGTGCGTCCCAATAACCCCCACAGCCAGAACAAGACCTGCATTTGCTGACGGCTGAGGACATGGCCCGAGCATCCTGGCAGTCCTGATGCGGTATGCGGTGCTGATGGCTTTAAAGCCCGCGTCTCCCAAAGCTCCGAGCCTTCAAGGCCAGGTCCAGGATTCCATCGGCCTTGCCATCTTGGGCCTCTTCAGGCAACGAGGATCCGAGTTTGTGTTGTAGTCCATATCGTCTCAGTGCTTGTTTCGGGGAGCAACCTACCGGCTTACCGCTTCTCGCGCATATGCTACTGAAGCTGACCGAACCTTGCATAATCGAGTCTGCTGAGTTCACCCACATCCTACACCTAAATCCTTGAGCACTCAACCTCCATCAACCTTCACTCACGACCCAAAGCCCCATATGTGAGCTAGGAGGAGGGAGGAGGGTACTTCGGAACTGTAGGTAACTGAGATTCGGCACCACGCTCTTTCGGCGCGTCAAGGGTGTTTGGAGTCTGGAGTGAAAGCCGTGGGCTTTGTCAATGCCGGAGCTTGGCCGTCGGGATTGTGGGCTGAGGGGTTAAATTCGGACTCAACCGTTCAGGCTTCGTCGAACGAGCGCCGGGTTTCTGGATTCGGGGTATGGAATTGCGGCCGGGAGGTTGAAGTCCAGACTTTGCCACATGGGGTTGGCTTTGTCAACACAGTCAATGCCAAGATCATGACACGGTGTTGTGCAGGACCCGGGAAATTGACAGCAAAAGGCGAAAGGAGTAGACGGGTGGAGTTTGGCCTTAATTAGGGCGCAGAGCTTGGGGCTCGAAGCCAGCAAACTCTCTGAAAGGAGCTTTTTTGACCAGAAGCACGGCATGGTGGGCGCAAAGATGTGCCAAAAATCGGCAAGTGGGTCCGAGTGGCAACGCATTTGCCAGTCTGGCCTTACAGGCTATAGGCAAGCCCACAAGTACCGCTCTGCGCTGGTAGATCCGCTTACACAATTCGATGACCACTTCCGAATGCTAGCACGACATCAGAAAATGGAATCTTCCAATTGGGCCTTGAATGAATACTGTACCCACGGCTCTGTGACGTTGTCTCCCGGACCGAAAATGTCACGCATGTCTGAATTCCGCCTGCAAGCAGGTGTTTTAGCATGCCATGCAGGTTCAGAAGTTCACCTGGTCGCGGTCTTGATCGTGCAGACTTTTCAAGGCGAGGATCTTAGGGGTCGGCTTTGGGCCGTTAGTGCGTTGTTTTCAATCCTCAAACCAGGTTTGAATGGCGTTTCCTCTCAGCTCGGTAAGCTCTTGTCCACCACAGGCTTCAAGAAGTCCACGGCAGGAAAAAGGACCTTGCGAACTCAGCTTTTCTGTAAAGTGGAAGCTACGTGTAGCAGGCGAGGTGACTCCCAACCACGGTCCAGGTTTCCAGCTCGGAGGCTTCGGTTTGTAGAAAATGACCGTCAAACTCGGATCAAAAAGGTAAGTAATGCTCAATAGCTCCAGCCAGTTTGCAGGCTTTTGCCTGGGGCCTGCCCTAACGCTTCGGCTTCAAAGCAGCCCACAATCTCCAGCATGTCTTATCGCCAATTGCAGAGTCATCAGATCCCCAACACTAACAGCTCCGGTGAGTACACAAACCAAACTCATGCAGCAGAGCTACGGCATTCACAGGACCGGCCCGCATGAGAACGGCAGAGTATCCTGACAGTTCTCGGGGGATCAGGGCATCAGGTTGGGTGTCGCACAGGCTCCACGCTGTCTGAGCACAGCGACGCAAAAACCAGCAAGAATTCTAAGTGCTTTGCAGCCACATCAGAATGCATGCATAGCGAGAGAGAGAGAGAGAGAGAGAGATGTGGCAGCAGTTCGACCGACAAATACCTGACACCAGCCTCGGACGAAGGCTTTAAGCCCCTCCACACGGTAGAGTTCGCGAGCGCACGCAACCTTGGTACTGCTTTCTTTCATCCGAAGAGCTGCTTGGGAAACTTCATACACCGCCGTGACGGAATCTTTAGCAAGGACGGAACCTGTTGTAGGGCGGGGGGGGCGCGGCTTGGACAGGCTTATAGCAAGTGCTGCCGCCCCCGACTTTGAAACGCAGCCTGCCTGGTCACTATAAACATGAACTTGTGCCACAGCTGATACTCGGCTCTCAACCTATCCAACTTGTCTACCCCGGACAGCATATTTCACGCCGGACGGTTAGATCCAAGTGCGGAGCCACACCGGTGTACTTGCGGTCTGCCAGGGATGTGAAGAAAGTACCAAGGCATCCGGGCAGTAGACGCTTAAACACTCGAGCATGTCGACATCGAGTCACGAGAACCGGATACGGTGGAACCGGGGTCTTTCAGCGACTTTGGAGATGCGGCGCGTGAATGCCGTGCTCTCCGATTTGTTTTAGCAAGGAGAATTGCCTTTTTCAGGCAGTCCTACCCAACGCAAGCCCTGCAAATAAACCGCCTGCGACGGCATCCTGCATCGAAATGTTTCAGCAACGGGAGAGCCTGCTCCATAAGCTG